TGAGGTGCTTTGAATTTGCAACGGAGAGGTTTTAAAAGAAAAGTACGTTTATGGTACGTAAGGATTTGGGTTTTTATAAAGCTGGATTCTCGGCGTTGATCATGGTTACTTTTGTTGTTAAACACACTTCTTGATATATAAGTCTATTTTTTGTTTGTTTATTGTATAAAAGCTAATACGTACAAACATCCTATGATGACCGTGATGAAAAGGAAAAAAGTCCTATGTTGATATGATGTCTTCATACGTATTTCAACATCTTTCTGGGTTTTGGAGCAATCCAAATGTTCATACGGAATATTCAAAGTTGGTTAGAAGTAAGATTGTCATGGATAAACGCAGACCAGATATTATGACTTTTTGTGATATGTGATCGGTGCATTTTGTTTGGATTCATAGATTGGCATTTTTTTTGTTCTTATGTTTGTTAAAGGCAGGATTTTAGACACTTTCAGTCAAAATTCTGAAAATAGAGGTCAAAGGCATGTAGCCGAAAAATCAAATAACTGTAAATGTTGACATCCTATGACAAAGAACGTGTTTTGAGATTAAAAATAAAATAAAATTTCTTTCATGTTGGTAATTTTGTTTTAGAAACTATGACATGTCTCAGTTTATATGATTTGGTAAGATATATACAGTAATAATATTTCATTGTTTCAATGAGGATTTGGCTTGATTAGTGTCTAATTAAACAAGTGAAAGCGACTGCTTTGGGCCTTTGGCTAACATCATCCAAGCTCATATAAACGTCCGTACAATATTTTGTAAAACTGTATGTATGAGTAGGAGCCTAGGAGGTATGGTTAATGCAAAAACGTTCCTGCTTTAATGCTTTTGTAGAAGATATGATGTATAAAAACAATCATTTAATAAGTTGACCGTCTAGAATATTGGATATTCGTTAGGATAGCAACACATCACTTATCTATATTAAATCTAAAGCAATAATTTTGGCAGAGTTGAAATATCTTGAGTTTTAAGTGAAAAGTAATAGTTGTATTAAAGAAACAGAACAAAACAGAGTGTAGGAAGAAGACGGAGTTTTACGCGTTCGACAATCAAGGTGATCAAATCTATATCATAAGGATTGGAAAACACTAAAAACCTAACAACCTAAGATAGAGACTCAAAACAGCAAACACTACTAAAGGACATTGAGATTAAGACGCTGCTTACTTAGCTTATTGTTAAATTTGAAAATACCGGTTGTCCTTAATTAGTTCAA